GGATGATTTCCAAGGTCCCTTCTACCTCCCATCCTCTGTGATGTGTGTGTTTGTTGTCTGGGGGAAAGGAAGGAAGGGGCAGAATACCTGTGCCATGTGCCATTCCCCAGTGCAGCTGCTGTCCCCTGCTTCCAGTGCAAGTCCAGGGGTTAGAATGAAATAATCGAAATGTTCTGGGGCTGGGGCCACAGAGTCCACTGTCATTCAACTCCAGAGTCCAGCAATGAGGCTGAGATCACAATAGTCTCAGGTGGGCTCTGGCCCCCTAGACAGGGTGCATTCCAGACTTGTTAGAAACAGAACTGTAGAGAGACGCTTCTGCTTCTCCCTAGAGCTAGTTAGGACTCTTACCTCACAAGTAGTAGAAATCACATCCAGGTAGCATGAAGAAAGGGAAGAATGGTTATACAAACACACATAATCTTGTCCCAGGGAGGAACAGGAACTGTAAATTCCTTAGGAACTGGGCAGTCTTCTCCTACTAGCTCTATTTTGGTCCCTGCTCCTTCCTTCATGTCTGGTTTTGTCTCTATTTCCTATCCTTATTTTCCTCCCTTCTATCTCTCCAACCCACTTCTTCTTCTCCTTCTCCTTCTCCCTTACTGCCTCATAGGCTTTCTTGACTGTCCATCCACAAACAGACATATGGACCCACCACCATTCATGTGTTAAAAGCAACTGACCATCCCTGAGTCTAATTCCAATTTCCAACTTCCAAAAACATTAAAACAGAACAGACACAACATCTATGCCTTGTGCAAACAGCTGTAGGAAAAAAAATAAAAGCCCCTCAGAGCATTGAGGAGAGAACAGTTCCAAAACATCAAGTGTAAGCCCTAAACTTGTACTCTCTTCAGATATAAAGCAAACTTCCATCCCTGGGCTCCATCTGTCCACTTGAAATGGGTAACATAAACGTTCAAGCTCATTAATTAACCTTGATTATATTGTTCATGGCAAAAATATTTTTTAATACTGTCAAGGTAGATATTATTTGCTTGAAGAGTTCTGCACACTTAAGCATAATTGCATTTAACATGATAGGTCTTTAAGTGCCTTTCAAGAGTTCACTTGATTTAGCTGCTGCTACTTGTTTGCCATAATTGAGAATATTGGACTCCAGAGACAATTTCCTCTGAAAATTTCTTCTTGAAATAATTCATTCCTAATCAATATGAAACATCGCTTGAGTTCCCTTATAGGTCATGTGTACAGCTCGGATTCTTTAAAGAATCCACATCAATGTCAGAGCACTGAGGATACATTGAGGAACTACCCAAAGGGGAAAAGAAATGGATGGAGGTGTTTGAGCAATGCTTTCCTCCGATGGAGTCAAAGGAATGATGGTAAGAGCTTATAGGAGATTGGTAGAACCCTTCTTTTTCAAAACTATGAAAGCACAGCAATTCATAATCGTTTCCCCCTTTATTCACCTAACAAATAGTTAATTGTTGTCTCTTTTACAAAAAATAATAACTTGCTAAAATCTTCCACAGGGTTGGTAATCTGTTACCAAAGGAAGAATATTCTCTACTATGCTCAACCAAGAGTCACTTATGTGTAATTAAGCATCTACCAGAAGTGCATTTTCACAATTTATAGACTCTTTTATTCCTGAATTTAAAATCATATATTGTAAAAAAAAAATCCAAGTACGAAAGAAATGAGTAAAGCAGAATATAAAAGCTTCCTGCAGTCCCACTTTTCTTCTATGAACAGTGTGACTGAAAATTCAACCAGATTTTTCCTATGCATATTCTAATACTAACTATACATGCATATAATTCCAAACATATGTATGCACATAAGACACATTTTAATAATAGAATCAAAACATACATATTATTCTGCAACTTGCTTTGGTTGCTTACTAATGTATTAAAAACATTTGTTCTCATCTACCTCAACATTTTAAAAGCCATTATATTAGCCATTATTTGGCTATTGCAAATACTATTCAAACAGCCTCCTGTTAATTCTTTTTGAGTATTTTCTTTTTTTTTTTCTATACAGACAATACTACTATGAATGCTCTTACAGGTATACCTCTGTGCACTGGAGTCAGTTTTTCTAAAGAATGCAACTCTAGAAATGGAATTGCTAAATCAAAGGGTAAGCACAGCTACAATTTAAGTAATAACTGTCAAACTGCTTTTCAAAAAGCTTTTACCAAATTATAACTCCACCTAGACTTCATGGCATTGCTTGATCCCCATACCCTGGTCAGCACTGGGTGTCTAATAAATCAATGCTCCCTGACTACATGAAAAAAGAAAAGATTGTTTCAATATTTTAATTTGCATTTCTTGGCAAGGCAAATTTATGTATGTTTATTTGGATTTCTTCTGACACTGCCAATTTTTTGCTCATTTTCTATTGGATTCATTTTATATTGATTTAATGCCCTTTATATATCATCAGTGTTAACCCTTTGTTGTCTTTACATATACTGTCTTTCACATGCCCTGTCATAGGTTTTACTTGTCTTTCACCAGGTTTGCGATTTGGAAATCATACTGAAACAATAAAATTTCTATGTAATAAAATATATCAATTTTTCCTTTTAGGTTTTCTGGTTTCCATGACATATATTTTTTGCATTCATCTTTGATGATGCTGAAAATTTTACTATAAATTTGGGACTTTCAGCAACACAAATTTTTAATCTTGTAGTTTGAAAAGTCAGAAATCTCAGAGGCAATGACAGGACTGCATGCTCTCTGGGGGTTCCAGAGGGCAATCCCTTTCCTTGATCCTTCTACTTCCAGAGGCCACTTGCATCCTTTGGCTCATGGACCTTTACTCTCTCCTTGAATCCGGAAGTGAAGAGTCCTCATTCTCTCTCCTCTCTCTCTCTGCCTCCTTTTCTAATTTTGCTTCCATTGTCACATCTTTCCCTCTCTGAATTTGTGCTTCTGCTTCCCCATTATAAAGATTCTTGTGATCATATTGTACTCACCCAGATAATTCACAATCTCCCCACCTCAGCATCCTCAATCTTAATCCTATCTTCAAAGACCCTTTGGCTATGTTATGCTAACACATCAACAGGCTTTGGCAAGTAGGATGCAGATATCTTGGAAGGGCCATTATTCTGCCTACCCTACTTCTCAATCAGAAGATTTTCAACATCTATGTCCACATGTTCTTCTATTATTTTGTGATTTTTAATTTTTATAATTATAAAAAATCTGGATTTACTTTCAATATGGTATTTAATTGACTTAAACATCATAAAACCTCCTTAAACATCTTTTATTAATCATAAAAGATCAATAAATTTGCATCATCTATTCTTCATATTCCTAGTTCCTTTCTTTGTTTCTTTTATTTAATGTTAAGCTTGTAGAAGTCTCGCATGTGAATGGATGGGTAGATAGACAGATAAAGATAGATAGGAAGCTTCCTTGATCTTCAGCTCTCCTTAGTTACTGCCAATTCATTCTGATTTGTTTCACATTTAAGCTCCTACGCCTGGGAAAATACTCCCACTTTTCACTTCTCAATGCATGGAAAGCAGGCTCCCAAACATCTCAACTCAACTCTCAATTTCCCAAGTGTCCTTCTGCCTCTGGTCTCATTCTCCAGCCTAATGCTGCAGCCAGACTGTCCTCCTGAACACTCAATCCAATCATGTCTCTTCCTATCTTAAAACCTAGAAAAACTCCCCGTTACCTAAAGAATGAACTGTACATTTCATGGTGAGGTGGGTCTGACCCTGCAGGCCTGGATGAGAAAAGATTTTCTTAGGCTTTCCTATGCCAACCATCTGTTCTATCAACACTGATCAACTCAGTCCTGCAAGTTCCCAGTATCCCCTTTTACCTTCAGACCTCAAATGCTTATGCTCCTCTCCCTGGAATACCCTGTCCTTCCCCGTATGTACCAGGTAAAGGGCCATCATTTCGACTCAACTTCCTCCATGGAGTGTTCTCTAACCTATATCCCCTATCTCCGTATCCTTACAGACCAGTCACCCCCTTATCAATACTTTCTCATTTTCTCATTCTCCCTAAACAATAAAAATTAACAAGGCAAGGTAAGTAATTGATTGGGTGACACTGTCTCTCCACCGTAAACCAACAAAAATTAATAAACAGATTAAGAGACACTAGATACTTAGCATGCAAATTATTTCTCAAGATAGATTCCTTACCCCACCTCCTTCCAATCAAATCCTTTCCCTAAACCCCTTTATACCTGTCAGGCATATGGCAGGGAAAGCATGCTAGTCTATACATTTATAAATAAGGAAGGGGTTGATTACAAAAACTAAATGCTTATAAAACTGTAGGAAGGGCTGTTGCCTAGGGAGCTATTCAATTCAAGAACACTCTTCTATAAAAACCATGAGTACTCTGCCATCAACTCGTCTGTTTCAGTCACACAGCTGTTTTGGGATTTGACTATGCAGGTGACAGGTAGATTTTGGCTGTTGTAACTGCTTTTCTACATGCACAGCTCTGATCCTGTTTCTAGTTGGAGCCACAGGAACATGGCTTCTGCCTCTCTTCTGCTTTCCAAGTCTCATACAAGTATATTTCATGTAAATGCATCTATTTGGTGCAGCATATTTTATACTGAACACATTAACTGCAAGAGAGTCAGAAAACCAGATTATCCCCCTATTTTTTTTTTCTTTTTGCAGCACAAGCCAGAATAGAAAAAGACACAAGACAGGACATAGAAAAAGGTTAGAAATGGGTGTTTGGAGCCAACTGACAACATAAAATTCTCCCTTATATTTAGAAAAGTTAGACCTGCCACTGCTCTGTGTATATCTATTTGAGGACTTGCAATACTTTACTGCAGAATTTTTTTTAATTTATGTTTGTTTCCTTTTACAAGATTCTAAGGTCCTTAAGGATGGGGACTGTGATAGATTCATCTCTTCATCTCACAGAACTTCAAGAATAGCTGTCAAGCAAGCAATGAAACCATCAATAAATGTGCAAAGAGAGCCGGGCACTCTGGTATACATAGTCGTGCCCATCTCACCACACACTTTGTCACACTTGCTCTGGAGAAGCACACACAAGGCAAGAGAAGAAATCAACCTACCTCCAGTAGACACATTTTAGAGTTAGGTTTGCATTCAAGCCAAGGTCCTCTGTGATTTTGAGAAACATATCCTCCTCGGGCCTCATTCCCTGTCCTTCTTCAGAGGGGCTTGATAGAAATAATAAATGAGGTAACATTAAATAACAGATATCAAGAAAAGACTAGTTTTGGGTCTCTTTTCTCCCACTCTCACTGTCTTTTTAGCTCTCCTCCTGTATCTGCAATAGGAAGGCTGAGAACTAAGAACAATGTACCATGAAAGACATTCATAGAACACTCATTTATACTTTTCTCTTGCATGACTGATATTCTGCATTACTTTGTTCAATTAAACTCTTGTATGTGACTATTCCAAAAGACTTCGCAGGTTTAGGGCTTGAGTGATTTGTCAATTTCCTTGAGATCCCCATAAAACCCAGCAGCCTAATAGTGTTTTTCTTTCTGTTTCTTTGGGCGGGGGGAGGGGGGGAGTAATTAGAGATAGAACTCAGGGGCACTTGTCCACTGAGCCACATCCCCAATTCTATTTTGTATTTTATTTAGAGACAGGGTCTCACTGACTTTCTTAGTGCCTCACCGTTGATGAGTCTGGCTTTGAACTCCAGATCCTCCTGCTTCAGCCTCCTGAGTAGCTGGGATTACAGACATGCACCACTTTGCTCAGCTCTTCCCGGTGTATTAACAGATTCTATTCAAAAGCCAATTATCTGCAACTATTTTTTTAAATATGAACTGTGGACAAGTATTCTGACAGAAATTACACATTTCAGGGCAGAGAAGGCTAAGAATTGGAGACAGAAGAATCTCCCATATATTTTCTACTTCTGGTCTGCTATAATTTAGGGATCTCTTGCATTTTACTATGTAGTCTGTTTTCCCTCAGATTCCCCAGGCTTGAACCTACTGTTAATCAGCTGGAAGACTGGGCTGAGTAAGTCTAACTATCTGGATTTTGATGTCCAGTCTCTAAATTGATTGAACTGGGTAACCTCTATTCCAGTTGGATGGTTCTGTGAGTTTTAACAGACAGCTCTAGGACTCTGGATGCTGAGGGACTGACTGCACTTGTCATCCAAAGCACATGAAAAGACAAAAGTGCCTTCTTTTTACCTTTTCTGAGCGGAAGCAGCAGCAGGCAGCAAGAATGGCAACTCGCTATTAATGCTTTCTAGGACTGGGGCAGGCAATCTTGTGGGTTGGGGGTTAAGAGTGGTGGGCAGAGATCTAGAAAGCACAGGGAGAAAAGCGAGAAAGTACAGATTTATTTATTTATTCTTTTTAAAGATGCTAGCTATAGAAAACTCACTTTGACTCTAATGATATCAGTCGATTAAAAATAAAAGAATGGAAAAATATGTCCCATGGCAATCATGGCTAATATCAAACAAAGTAGACTCCAGATTAAAAAGGACCTAACCCTGGTTGAGTTAAAGATGGCCTTTGATGAAAGGACCTACTCACCAGCAAGACATGATAATCCTAGAAGAATTAGCTCTAATACCAGAGCTTCAAAGCTGAAGATTTCAATCACTCGCTCAACAATTAATCGAACAACTAGACAAAAAATTAGCAAGGATAGAGGAACTCAACAGGTCATCAGCCAACAAGATCTAATCAACATCAGTAGAATTCTCCATCCAACAACAGCAAAATGCACATCATTTTCTTGTGCCCACAGATCTATCAAGAGAAATTGTATGTTGAATCATGGAAACTTCCTCAACAATGGTTTTTAAATTGAAATAATAACTGTCCAGATTGTTTTACCACAATAGAATCAAACTAGAAATCAAACATAGTAACCTTGTTTCCAACAAAATGACTATAGTAAAATATACAAATACTTCAAGAGCACGTCATACATTTGTAAATGACTGATAGAATCTAAAGGAAGTATGGAAAATTTAAAATACACTTTAGGTTGGATGAAAATGAAACACATAAAAAATCTGTGCAATGCAGAGGAAGCAGCACCCAGAGGGAAACTTATCACGTGAGATGTTTTTTATTAAGAAGAGAGAAAGTTCTCAAATGAATTAACTAATGTACTCTTAAAAATAAGGAAAAGAAATGTAAAACCCAGGAAGAAGAAAATAAGAGAAGGGCATACATGAATGAAATGGAAACAGTGAAACAAGAAAGAAATTAAATGACACCAAAACTCACCAAAAACATCAATGAAATTGATTAAATGTCTAGCACATCTGATCAAAAGGAACAAAACAATAGCAAAGAAGACATAAGTTAACAATATGAAATGAAAAAAAACAATATGAATGAAAGAAAAAAATTATTACAGACTCTCAAGACATTAAACAGAGAATGGGTTGGGCATGGTGGTGCCTACCTGTAGACTCAGTGGCTCAGGAGGCTGAGGCAGGAGAATCATGAGTTCAAAGCCATCCCCAGCAACTTAGCGAGGCCCTAAACAAATCAGTGAGACCCTGTCTCAAAATGAAATAAAATAAAATAAAATAAAATAAAAAGGACTGGGGATGTAGCTCAGTGGTAGGTCTGGGTTGGATGCCCAGTACCCTCCTCACTTTGAAAAAGATAATGGGAATAAAACTAAAAACATAGTTTCCTAGTTATGTTGTTCATGCTGGGTAAGATTCTAGTTTGATTCTATTGCAGTAAAACAATCTGGACAGTTATTATTTCAATTTAAAAACCATTGTTGAGGAAGTTTCCATGCTCAACATATGATTTCTCTTGATATATCTATGTGCACAAGAAAATTATGTGCATTTTGCTGTTGTTATGCATAAATGCATAAATTGGACAATTTAGATAAAATAGACTGTTTTCCAAAACAATAAACTACCAAAGCTTACCCAGCATGAATGACATAACTTAAATAGTCCTTATCTTAGTTATTTTGTAGTGCTATACCAACACCACAAAACATAAACCAAATAACTGATAAACAAATAATAAAAAAGTTATTTCTCATAGTAGTGGAGGCTTGGAAGTCTAAGATCAAGATGCCAAAGATTTGATTGCAGTGGTGAATTTTGCCAAACATTTGCACATGCCTATAATCCCAGTGACTTGAGAGGCTGAAGCAGGAGGATCACATGTCTGAGGCCAGCCTCAGCAACTTAGAGGCCCTCAGAGGTCTTAAAATAACAAATAAAATGGACTGGGGGTGCAGCTCAGTGATTAAAGTACCCTGTGTTCAATGCCTATATAAATTTAAAAAAAGAAATAACATTAATTTTACATAGTCTTTTACAGATAATAGAAGAGGAGGTGCCATATCTAAGTCATTTTATCAAACCTATCAAACTAGCATTATAAAAATCAAGGACTGAACCAGAAAGACGACTACAAAAAATATATCAAAATTTAGGTACAACCCCCCTTAACACACTATCAGCAAATACATAAAATACCAGCAGTCCATAGAAATGATGGCATAGCACAATGAGTGCAAAGCTGGTTCAAGATCTGAAAATCAGTCAGGGTATCTACCATATTAACATTCTGAAAAAGAAATCCAGATAATCATAACACCGAATAAAGAAAACACACTGGACAATATTCAGTATCCAAAAATGAAAATTCTTTTTTTTTTTTCAAAGATGAAAATTCTAAGCAACCTAAGGACTGAAGGGTGCCTCTTCAACCAGATAAGACACAACTACTATCACACCTGATGAAAAACTGCATACTTTGGCCTACAGATGAGGAGTAATATAATTGTCCATGTTACCACTCCTATTTGAAATTGCACTGGACTTCTCAGCTAGAACAATAAGGCAAGAGCAAGAACTAAAAATAACATACCAATTGGAAGAGAAGAAATAAAACTCTTTTCACGGATGGCACCATTGTCTGCATACAAAATCTTCAGGAATTTCCAATAAATCTCCTACAACAAAAAGTTGCATTGGCAAGGATTTAGTACACAAAGTCTGCACATGCACAAAAAAAATCATATTTACATTTATAGTGAACAATTAAAAGCTGAATCTTAAAAAATTTTACAATAGCCTCCCCCCAAATGAACAAATTAGTTAATATTAGTTATATTTAATTAGTTATTTTATAAGAATTATTAGTTCTGTTTAATTATATATGAGCAAACACAGAATTTTTGTGCTGAAAATTACAAAATGCCAATAAAATTTATCAAGAAGTCCTTAATAAATGGAGAGACATCACAGTGTTCATGGATTTGCAGACAATAGTTTTAAGATGCCAATTGACTCCTAAACCAATTTAATGCAATTTAAACCAAAATCCTTGAGGAATTTCTGGTAGATACAATCAAGCTCATTCTAAAATTTATACAAAAAGGCAAAGAAACTAGAATAATCCATGCAATTTTGAAAACATAAGAAAAAAGATGGAGTCATCACACCCTCCAATTTTAAGTCTTATAGTAAAACTATTTAAAGACTATGTAATATTAGAGAAAAAAAGATAGATCCATAAATCAATAAAACAGAATAGAGAGCAGAAATAGTCTCAACAAATATACCAATTTATTTTTTACAAAGCTGCCAAGCTATTCAATAGAGCAACAGTAGTCTTATAACAAAGGCTACTAAAACAATTGGTCATCTATAGGTTGAAAAATGAATCTTGACCTAAATTCTAACCCTCAGGCAAAAATTAACTCAAAATTGATCCTAGACCTAAATATAAATTGTAAGACTGTCAAACTTTCAGACAAAAACAGGAAACAATCTATAAAATTTTCTGTTGCAAAGATGAAACAGACACAATTTCTTAGATTGGATAGAAAAATAATTAATAAACTGGTCTAAAGCAAAATTCAGAATGTGTGCTCTGTGAAAGATACTGTGAAGAAAAGGAAAGACAAACTACAGAGTAGGATAACATACTTTCAAATCACATATCTAACAAACATCTTTCATCCAAAATAGAGTTCTCCAAACTCAACAGTAAGTATTTAAGCCCATTTTTTTAAACAAACAACAAAAAAAGATTTCATAAAGAAGGACATAAAAAGGGCAATTAAGCACCTGAAAAAAAATTCAACATCATTAGCTATTAGGGAAATGCAAATTAAAGCTGTGATGAGATACAGTAAAGCACCTATTAGAATGTCTAAAATAAAAATCACTGACAACAGTTAGGATTGACAAGCACGCAGAGCACTGAAACTTTCAGGAATCTAAAATAGTATGGTCACTGTTTTAGTCAGCTTTTTCACTTCTTTTGGCTAAAGGATCTGACCAGAACAATTTTATTTAAGGGCTCATGGTTTTAGAAGTCTTAGTCCATAGAAAGCCAGCTCCATGCCTTGGGTCTCACGGTAAGGGAGGACATCATGGCAGAAGAGTGTGGCAGAGGGAAGCCACTTCTATGGTGATCAAGAAGCAGAGAGAGACTCCACTTACCAAATACAAATATATACCCCATAGCCACACCCCTAGTGAATCACTTCCTCCAGCCACACCCCCCCTGCCTCCAATTACCACTCAATTGGAGATCCCTCCAAACCTTCTTGCATTGTCTTACATGTGAACTTTTGTGGGACACCACATCTAAACCCTAACAGTCACTCTGGAAAGCAGTTTGGCAATTTCATACAAAGTTAAACATATACTCATCATATGGTCCCACATTCTGACTCCTAGCAATTTACCTTTGAGAAACAAAAGTTTAGGTCCACACAAGAAACAATATGTGAATGTTTATAGAAGCGTTGTTATTCACAATAGCTAAGAACTGGAAACAACTGATATGTCCTTCCATGAATGAGATAAACACCTATACCCATAAAATGGAACATGAGAAATAAACAGGAATAAAGTAATGATACAACAATTTCATTCATTTCAAAGACATTATGCTCAATTGAGGAAACTACTCTCCAAAGGTTACATACCGTCCGATTCTATTTCTATGACATTCTTAAAAAGACAAAACCATAAAGACAGAACAGATCTCTAATTGGGGAACAGCAGGAGGAGACTATGACATACAAGGTGGGTCACGAGGAGGAGTGGGAGTGACAGACTACTCTGTATCCTGATTGTGGAGGTAGTTACCTAAATGTAGACATGTGTTAAAATTCCATTGTACTGCACAGTCTATTAACTGTATACCAAAAAAAGTAAAAATTACTCTATGTCAATTTTAAAAATAAAATATTAAAAATATGTGAAACGGCTCTAAGCTTAGCACTGCTTCCCTGTGAAAAGTTTGTCCCATCATCCAAATGATTACAATATATGAACAGAATAGTAATGAGCAGCAAAGGATACGAACAACATCCCAACAGTGAGTTCAGGGAATCGTTTGTACGTTTGTCTATCCATTCATGTATTCATCCACTTAACAAAATCTTACTGAGTCCTTAGCATTGTTCTTGACACTCTTTCAATCCCATTGGTTTTAGCAATAAGTGTTTGAAGACTTTCGTTGGAAACATGTTCAGTGCAGGCTAAAGGCACAATTGCAAAACACAACTTAGAAAGCAACGCTGCATGAACTGAAATAATACAACCCAGAAATTCAGCTATCTTCTGTTCTGCCTTGAATCTAAAGAGGATTTTTTTAGAAAATGTAAGGAAAGTGGACTTCTAGTATGTAAGAATTAGTGCTCTAAGCTGAGACTTTAATCCATAAGACTTGGCAGAGACTATGAGATAACACCCCCCAATAAGTACCTAGAGAGTAGTATTCCATAGTTCTAGTTAAATCTGTTAAATCTAGTTAAATCAGGCTTGAATGGGTAATGTAAGGGGAATTTCATTTGCTTGCTGAGTCAGCCCAGCCGGGGGTGGAATTGCTGTTTTCTTAGGCAAGTCTGATAAGGGCTTTGGTTCTAATAGAAATCCACTCTGCCTCAATACAGAGAGGTTGGAAGAGGCACCAATGAAAAAAGAAGAAAAAAAAAATAGAAAATATCATCTTGAACCATGTAAATTTCTTATATGTCCTACAGAACTTACTATATCAAATGATAAATGATTAATCATAAGCCTGTCAATATTGGGAACTGCTCATCAATAATGAATATTTGAGTTTTGAAAGAGGTAAGAAGTAACCTTTCCATGAGTAAAAGATAAGGCCATTCATAGGTCATAACAACACTAAAAATTATTATGATGGACTATATTGAACACTTACGATTATGTATCATCTCATTCAATCCTCCCAACCTCCCTATAAATTAAAAACTATTATTATTTCCATTTCATAAGTAATCATCTTTCCCAACACTCTCAAACTAGGAACAAGAGGTTTGGAATTTAAACTCTGGACTTTAAAACAAGATCCAAGGAATAGCTCTAGTTTACTCACTGAAAACAGACAGAAGGTCATTCAGAATCTTTACTGTTGACCTTAAAGTACAAGTTCTAAATAAGCATCAGTAACTGGGTATGGGTGGTCTCTTTAGAGATCATACAGTTAAGCCATATCAACAAATAACCTTGTATTATTATTCCTGAAAGATTTTTTTTCTAGGTAGTAAAGTATAGCTAAGATGTGTTAATAGTGGAATAAACTTTACTGAAATCATTTCTTCTCTAGTTAAACGACTAAACTTTGTCCATCTCTTCAAACCAAAATCAACCCCAAACAAATCTGTGGATAGACAGGCTAGATTTATTGTTCTTGCCATAGGGAGAACATGCCATGGAAAACAAAGGCCGTCTCAGTAAGAGGATGTGAGGAAGAACGGATTGCAGTCAGCAGGCTCGAATGGGTAATGTAAGGGGAATTTTGGGAAGCAAAACTGGTCTGGACTGGATGCTGTCAGGAAGCTGGAGCGGTTCTACAACGCTAGAATTGTGTCTTACATTGAAAGAGAGAAGTATAGAATAAAAGCAAAGCTATTATTCATAAAGTGGCAGTTGTCCTATTAGCCAAGTTAGGGGAATGCTGGTATTTTTTGGTTGGCTAGATGACCTCATTTTATGTCTGTGTGTAGACAAGATTACAAAGTGCTCCTTTGTGTTTCATGTCACCATGGACACGTAGTAGCCTTGCCTGCTGCTGGTGCCCTATAGGTTCTTCTACAGAAAGACACCAAAGTCTGACAGTGAAGTTTATACAAGCTCCAAGCAACACCTGACTGATGGTGCCAAGGCAGCTCCCACCGGCCTGTTAGGGGCTCCTTTTTCTCTTTCTCAATTTAAACCTCTCTTTCTCCTCTCATAAAATATAGGTCTGGGAAAATGAAGTTTGCAATATATCAATTAGGTAATTGGCATTGAGTTACCTTTCAGATGGAGTGTCTAAGAAACTAATTAGCCTATAATTTTAAGAGAGTAATGTTACCCTTCAACACAAATAAGATAGATCTCTCCCTGAGTCGACAAGCTGTAGATTATGTAACAGTAGGTGTCCTTTCAAAAAAAAATTCATTTTAGCATTCTTCCTTGGCATGGAGTTTGAAAAATTATTTTTCCAATATATTCAAATATATTTAAATGTTTTCTTAATGTCTATAGATTTTTTTTTCCAAGGCAAAAAGGGCAGATATTCTTGGAGCCTAAGGGAAATTTTAGATTTTAGTACAGGGGCTTTCCCAATGGTAAATATCAGTCTTGGAAAGAGTATGGATTTGGGAGTTAGATTACCTTTGTCAGCAGTAACTCTACCACATGGTATGAGCCTCAGTTTTTTTGCTTAAACTTTCTGTAAGATAGACATAATAATTACACCCACCATTAAAATCAAACTTTAAATTTAAAATATAAATTAAAGGAAATTGAGATAAAAATAAGAAAATCACAGAAACACAGTTCATTTTTGTTTATAACTAAACTGCTTTTAATTTTAGATATTCTTTAAAAATGAAAACATTCTGTGCCTAATTTAAAGAGGTGGCCTGATATGATTAGTCTATTTCTTATATCATTATTCTTATTTCTAAAACATTATTGA